TACAAACATAACAAACAGGTCTAGTCATTGCTGGGCAGACACCCTGTTTCTCATAGGCTCCAGGAAAGTAGAAATCACATCCTGCATATTTCCATGTTTGGCCTTTGTAGTAAATACCGTCGCCTATGGTAAATTCGACGCCTAGTTACAATTGAAAGTCATAATTAGTTTAATTTTAACTTGGTTAACCCACAAGAAACATACATTACCGATAAAGGGAGTCACTAGGTGAGTATCTGTCCCCTCTATGGTATGAATGCAAACGAATCAATCCGATTGTGATTGTGATTTCATACGAAAAACAGAGAAAGACAAAAAACAACTTTGTAAGCATTAAATTATGACCAGAGTCAAATGCATTTGTTGCCATAATTACAATTACAATTTAAAGCAGATCACAAAGCAAAACTACGCCAACGAATCTTTACCACTATAATATGCGAAACTGAATTTTTTGTGTAGTTATAATTTATGTCCATAGGATTTAGAGTTACACTTCCTTTCAGATGTCTGAGGCTCTGGCCCTAGCCTCGTCTAGGGTTAAAAGCCTCTTTTTGATTTAGACAAAAAATGCTCTGTTCCTCCTCAAGAAGTCGGTGCTAAGTGCCAAATGAATAAATCTATTTTGAGTTGTTTTCTTCTTTTTTGTTTTGTTTGTTCGTTTTTCACAACCATTTGCGTGACATAGGATTTGTGTTTACGCCGCCATGGTTAGTTTTGATTCTAGCGCGCTATCCTCAAGAACCAATATATTGTAAGTCAGTTGTGCTATTGTTAAATCATGGACTTTATAGTCCATTCCAAAAGTAATATTATTGGTAAATATAAGGACGGTGACTTGTTACCTTCACAATGATCTCTCTTTTCTCTCACAAACTTGGCAACGTTGCATTGTGGTTGCGCACAATTCTCAATATGCTCATAAAACCCATAGTAATAGCCAGGGAAGTTAATGGTCAAGTTTCTACGGCATGTCAGAAAGCCTGCTTTACAATGGCAATCCATACAGTGAGAAAGCTGCAAACCATTTTCATCTTTTGTTAAAAATAAACTTCCCTCTTCGTCCTTGCAAACGGCTAAAATAGCAAACGGATAAAATAAGATTATACAATTCCCCAGATGTAACAGTTCACAAACTGATCACTGAGCTGAAGATTTGACTTGGCATTTTATTACTATTTGGTTTCGTGCTACGCAACTTGTGTGCAGCACTCATCAGATGAAATTGCCAAATGCGAAGTTCCATCGTCACACTGATTTGAAATACACATGCTACCGTTGGAAATAGGAAAGCTAGAATAAGTGAGCGCTTTTACACAACAATAGAAAGTTGAAAATCATAAATAATCTCCGATACAATTGCGTGACAAAGGAGCTTTAAAATTTAGCTTTTTTCAGGAGGAATATTGTTTGCGTGTCTACCTGACGTTATAAGTTCATTCCGTTTGTTAAGAGAAGCCTATGGAGAGGCTAACTTAGGTTTGCAAATGATAAACTAAACTCCCAGAGGCATAGGTTACATCGATTTGTAGCGGGGTTATATGGAGCACCTTGCTTAAAAATTTTCCAAGTCAATTTTAACTTTGACTTATTGTCTTTCTAATTCCAGATGTGTTTGCTGTGAAGAAAGACGTTTTATGGTTTGAGTATCTGGTCTTAAAATAATTTTTCGTTAGGCCAACGTAGGTGTGGGAGGGGTTTTTGTCTTCAGTTGTGACGGTCGCTCGGTAGATAACCGATTCCTTGAGGCAATTTCTATCCACAGGACACTCAGCTGGTTTTCTGCAGTTGCACGTTTTAAGCGGCACAATCTTTTTGTGCAAAATGGATTTATTAAGGCCATCGATGTTCTGTTTCAGGTTGGACATGCAGCTGCTGCTGATCTTAACTGTGTTACTGTTAAAGATCTTATATAACACAGCCTCTTTGGGAATTCTTCGTCTCGATCTTGGGAAAGACTGTTCCGAGGCTAGAGGCTACGTTTTTGCTGTATGGGGGTTATACCAAATTATTTTCCTTTTTCGGTTCTTTCCTCCAGGGCGTGCGGGTTGAGTTGGGAATTGGGTAAAAAGTTAAGATAATGCGTGTATCCGCTGTTGTTGAGGGCTTTCTGGTAGATTGGCGCTGCTTTTTTGAAAGATTCTTCATCATACAAAATCTCAGACAGTCGTTTATTAATAGATTGTGGGATGTTCTTGATATTACGCGGCCGGTAATTAGATTTCTTGTTGACATACAGCCGGATGTTTTTACGCTTGTTACGACATGTGTTTACCATTGGAGAGGTTAAGAGTGACATTAAGGAAGTTTACGACTTTTTTGTTGGCTTCAATCGTGATTTTAAGGTAATGCTTGCCAAAAATGTTGCACAAATCTTTCTTAATTGCTCTGCTTGTCGAGCGATGTCTGGGTTATACCAAGGCCGTCGTCGCAGTACAAGCCAACGTTGTAGCCATGTTTCTCCTTAATGCGGTGCAGGAGGTACGCGCCAACGTGCTCACATGACTCTGAGCCGTAAAAGCTGCCCATGGTTACATCGAAATGAGATCAGTCGATATTTTCTTTCCCCATGGCTCACTTGTGTTGTAGAGAGGAGACTTCTTCACATGGAGAATGATGTACTGCTCCTCATCGCCAGTAATGTTAACTTAGCTGGAAGCTAATTGTAGGACCTTGATGGTTATGAAGGCGTCTCGCTTAGCAGTGGTGTTAACCCGGTCATCTGGATCGAGTTGCTTAGCAATTTCTTTGGCTTCAAGCTCGATAGAACTCGTGGTGTTCACGATAGAACCGGTTCCCCAGGTATAGGTGATTTTACGACCAGTATTTGGTTGTAAGAAGCCTAAAGTCGCGTCACCTACAGTTGAACGCTAACTCGTATCCAGAGCGGGAGAGGACCTGCGCTGACTTTAACACCGTTGTATCTCTTTTTCAACATTGAAGAGAATATTGGCAGACTATATTTCGACATAATCTGACATTCCTTCCGGAACCATGTTGTGTAACATCCGTTCATTATCGGAGCTTGATGTTTCCATTGTAAGTGTATTTTGATTGTTTTTTTGTTTTTTTGTTTGTTTTTTGTTTTGGTCTTGTCTCATACTGAGACAGTTGGTTTTGTTAGTTCTAAAAGGGACATTTTTTTAACGCAGAACTCCAAATTTTTCTTTTAAGATAAATGTTAAAAACATTTTTCATGTAAGAGGCTCTCCTACCGACTGGCTTTCAGTAGCATGCAAATCGAAAGTTCCAAACCCAACTACTAGTACAAGTTTAGCAATTACCCGTTTGTCAATCATAACTATGACGACACCAGTGAAAGACAAGATACATCTAATTGACAGCAGAGTAAAACTGAACTGTTAGTTACGGTCTTTTACATTGCATGTTGTACTCAAAGCCAACCATAAACCCTACATTGGCCGAGCTCGGTTTGAAGAGATCGGAGAAGTCATTCATTTATTTTAATACGTAAAATAAATCTCCCTTTAATTTCAGACATTACATGTTGAGACCAAAGTAAATGTTGATTGAGTATTATTTAGTATAGCAGCAAAGCAACATAGTCCAAAAACTGAGGAAGCATACCATCTTCGCAGCCGTTTTCATCTGATTCATCCGGGCATTCAGCAATCCCGTTACATAGGTGAATGTCCCGGATATACAATCCCCCACTTGCACACTTGGTCATTTTTCCGTTTTCGGAAAGTTCAAGGTAGACTAAAATAAGAAAAAAAAAAAGGCAAAATGATTCTCAAAGTATAGTAGACCTAAATTTTATAGCACGTTCGATTTGATATTTGAAAAAAAAAAAAATGCCTGAAAACTAGCTGAACCGGAAAAGTACTTAGCTGGAAAGGTACAATTCAACTACTTAATGGGCGAGATGACCGTATTATTTCTTAGTGTAGAGTTTATGATGAAATATGTCTTTATGTTAGATATACACCTAATTGAAGAAATGTTGTCAAGAAAAAAGTATATGAACCATAAACGATACGACACAGTGGTTTTCGGAGAAACTTCCATTTTCACGGACAAGCATTAAAGCGGTTTACGAGATTAGCATGCATGCTTAAATTTACGGCGTACTCTGAAGACTTACGTTTACGGGCTGCCTGACTTTATTACAACCTTGGTTATGATATTGGGGAACCTGCAGGTTTGCTTAAAATGCCCAAGTAAATAGGGGAATAAATACGTACGCACGGATGAATTAAAGTAATGACTATTACATCCGGAGTTGTTTTTCCCTGTAAATAAACAGTACAGTCAGTCTCAGGCCAGGTCTCTTCTTTAAAGTTCGTGCTTACTACATGTTGCAAACTCAACTTGGGCATATCCGAAGCTCTAAGCGCTCAAATTTTCTTTTGTTTTCTACTTTAGCTACCTCAAGGAAGGCATGGTACGTTCTGTGTGTTCCCAAAGCGCCATTTCGGGCAGCTGACCTGTGATCATGAAATGCCACGAGAAAGCAATATGGAATATTCATGATCACGCGCACGCTTTTTCAGTCTTCCCATAACTCTATAAAGTCGTATCGTTTACGGACAACGTTTTCTCAAGGCTTTCATATACATCTGCTTAAGTTGTGAACATAACTGCGAATATCTTTCATGTCTTTAAGTCTTTCTCTGCCGTTCCAATATAAATTATTTCATATCTATACTTACACATATTGTATGCAACCTTGTTACTTGAATTTTATGGTAATGCTGTTTTGATTTCCTGCCCGTCCTCTCACAACTCATGTGTGCTAAAGTTCTCTGGCTGACTTATGACCATGAGCCAAGTGGAAAAATTGTCACCATAAATGTATGTCACAGGTAATAGGCCAGTTTCGATATGTCACCATCTAACATGGCTCCGAGGCTTACAGGATAAACTTAGATGTTTTTGCAGTTTTCTTTGCATCCAAATATTTTTTTGGGAATGGACAGGAAAAAGTATGATTAAAAACAAAACTACAATTTTGTCCTGGAAGCATCGGAGCCATGGTAGACTTGATCTATAGAACTTGGCCGTCTTGAACCCATGTGATCAGACTGAACCTTGACGACAGTGACCGAGAACAGGACATAACAAAATGTATTTATAGGCTTTACCTACCTTTGCAAGTACTGTAGGGCTCTTCTGTTCTCAATGGAACTGCACATTGTTCACAGGTGGGTATCGGCTCAACATAATACAATCCATACGTGACGTTGACGTCATATCTAGTACAGTTTATGGTGCCGTTGACGCACTCACAAGCCACGCAGGAACTGTTCATCCATGTCTCTCTATTCTTTCTCAAGTTTCCGCTGATGTCCATGCACACAGGCTCATTTAGTTTCTGGCACAGGACAAAACTGTGCTCAATACAGGTACAATTAGTTGTAGGGTTTTTGAGCCACTTATCACCTGCTTGTCTTCGGTTGAACTGGTGATCAAGGCAAGCTAAAATTAGGAATTTTAAAATACCAACATTCAATTAGTACATCATCAGCAGACGATCAGGATGCCAAGCATTATGAAATAAAATCAATGTCAGATAATATTAAAGACTTTTGGTAAAGTGTGTATCTTTTTATGGTTATATAGCAGAGTGCCTGTTCAAACTTGAAACACAAATGAAAACGTTTCAGGAATAGCCTCCTCATTTTGTGCGCTAAATTTTCAGCCACAAAAGTCAGGACAAGGTTCATTCCATAAGAGTCAGAAGGCAGAGTCAAACCGGCAAGACAAAAGTTTCCTGAAAAGAACGAAGGAGAGAGCCCCTGTGAAGCCTCTTTTAACCGACCAGCTCCATAACCAGTTCGAAGCCTGATCTATTTTTGTTAGTGGTGATAAATGTTATAAAAACTTACATATGCACTTTTCATTTCTAAACCTTCCCAGCGACGCTTTCATGAAATATCAAATTTTTACTATAATAGACCATATTTTTATTCTCAGTATAGGACTAGAGCTAGCTTGCAACTGAGGTTAATGAGGGGAATCTTTTCAAATGTTAGTGACATAAATCTCTTTTTAATTAGATTCCCCCCGGATGGGCCTTCATTGCAAGCTACAGTAGGTCCAGTTCAATATCAAGAATACGATTAAAGCCTATTGTCAAGAATGCATTTAAAAAGAAGAAAGCTTCCCAGCTTTGATAAAGATTATGCCCAACTTTTTACACATAACTAACAACTAAAACCATAAAACAATTGTGGTGGCCTCCTCTATAACCCTGGTGGTTTTTTTGGAGGTCTTCTCGCTCTGGCTAAGTAGATGCAATCAATATATACTGGTTTTTGTTGAAAATAAACAACTTGGTAATGTTCATAAAATGGTTAAGTCTGAGCTCAATTTCAAAAGTCAATAAGTAAGTAAGTAACTTACTTACTAACCTTCAGAGAGCTTTGGGAAAGGTAGGTCGGAATTTGCAAAGGTTAAACGTTGGGAAGCGTAGCGGAGATTAGTACTGGAAAAGTTAGTTGCAGAAGAGATGTTTTTGTTCAGTCACTGATGGATTCAAATCAGGAGGAACTCGCCGTTTCGTTTCGAAATAAGTGTTTTGGCTGCAAACATGCTGAATTTCTGGATTTCTCCGGTTTTGTTCGGCCCCTTTTCACTAAACATCCTATCGAGAAAACCTCTCTGGGCGAGGCAGGCTAAAATGGCGAATAGGCGATCAACAAAGTTTACCGACTATACGTTCGTATAAGAAGATAGACGCTGGAATCTTATGGCCACAAAAGATGTGGCCAAACGAGGATAATAAAACTGGGAATGTCTCATTTGCTTTTCAATTTTTTTGCTCGCACCCCTTTTGCTCTATCTGTCCTTGTGTCTCCCACGATGGACCGAGCATCACTGTTAAGCTTACACAAGCACCCAAGATGAAGCAAGCACCTTTACATTAAAAAATGTCCCAAACATCATGATCTAAAAAGAACATGCTAACGTACTCCTTACTATTGTAAACGATAAAACGATAATCTTTAATAGATTCATTTTTCGGGAACTATTTACAGTAATAATGATCAAAAGACAAAAAACGTTCTCTAGTGCAAAAAAAAGAAAAAAAACGCTACCAAAATCTCATGATATAAAACAATAAGTCAATTTAGGCTATGACGCCATTTTTTGACGATAGCTTTGAATGTCTTTAGCGATTTAATTTCGTTAGCGACTTTGTCCAAGCTATTCCAGATATTAGTCGCTCCAGACGTGAAGGTGCTTTGGCCGGTGGCAGTTTTATATAGAGATATATGTGGCACGTCACAAGTCCGAGTGTCGGTTATGAATATCAGAACGCTTGATAATTTTTTTTTGGCGGAGATATTTAGGAGCGAGTTCATTCAAGAGAGGAGATTACGTGTAGTTTTTATAAGATATTGAATATTTACTTATGGGAAGATGGTTAACGAAAGAAGTTGAGTTTTGAGCTAAAAGTAAGAAAAAAGTAAAACGTACCATTTAAAGTGTAACAAAATTCAATAATAACACGAAAAGATTTTTGATTATTCGCATGGTAAATGAAAAACGTTATATTTGCGGCTTAGGCGCAAGTTTTGCATGCAAACCGTTAATTTAATTATTATTATTATTAATTTTTTTTACCTTCTTTAACAAGTGATTGGAAAATACATTGTTTTGCAAATTAATGGGATTAAATGTGCGAAATCAAAACACGGCCAAAACGATAGCTGTATCGGACACTGTAATTTTCTTCAGAATATAATCTGTTGAAGCAGTGTTCCGGGCACGAATATGCAGTATGCGAGTGAGTATGCAGTGCGCGAGTGGGCGTCCGAAATATTTATAGTACAGTGTAACACTTTAATTAAAGTACGTGCTTTCTTGGACAATTTCATCACATGTGCTCAAGGACAGTATACATGATAGAACTAGAACTCGGATTAGGCTTTGCTCGTTCTTTTTATCTCTCGAAAGGAAATTTTTGGTTTCTTGTATGAAAACAACAACAACAACAACAAAAGAACAAAAAAATAATGCAGGTAAATTCCATTTCCAGTCTAATTCTAGTTTTCTTTAGCTGTGTTTCCGCAAAGTGTCCAAAATTGTAACGTCTAAGAGTTTTGAGAGGAAATGCACATTGGTTTTGGCTTAACAAGAATCATTTGTAAACTGCACGAAAAAAACATCTTAGTCCTTAAACAAACTCAAGTAGATTTTACTAACACAATCACGCCCACTGTACGTACAATTTTTTTCTACTGCACTGTCGAGAAAAGAAAATGTTTCCCCTTGGCAAACAGCTCGGAATGAGATTCATTTTCAGCATTGAAACGCATCCATTATTTAGCATTATCTATCTATCTATCTATCCATCCATCCATCCATCCATCCATCCATCCATCCATCCATCCATCCATCCATCTATCTATTTATCTATCTATATAAAAGATGTTTGAAATGAATTACCTTTAGTGTGAACGAAGACGGCAATAGTGATGAGACCGAACATAAAAACTGCCTGTTTAGCCATTACTCTCCCAGTGTTGTGTCTGAGGACCTAAAAGAGAAAATGTAATATATTATAGTCAAGGGTAGAGCACTGTAGTGAAGTGTAGTGTAGTGAAATTAAGTATGGTATAGTACAGTTGCTAGCGTAGGGCAGTGCAGTACAGTGGAGTGTGGTTCAGAACAATTCAGTGCACGGCGGTCAAGTGCAGTGCAGTGCAGTGCAGTAGGATTGTTCTAGTTCTTGTTTTGTTTTTGCGATTTATAAATGTATTGACAACTCAACAATGTATAAGGCAAGGAATCCCAGAGAAGCTAAATAGGCTTAATTACGATGGGACACGGTACATTGTGTCGGATGCACACAATAAAATACGATAAGAATAGATGAAGTCATCATCTGTGAAATGCGCTGAACAGATCGACAAGATTTTTCCCGGCACACAGTTTTTCCTTCTTTTAAGGACAAAGTTAACCCACCGCTTTAATTTCGTCTCCTATTTTTAAATGGCTCTTGTTTCGCCTAAAAACGAAATTCGATTAAGGCTGATGTTTTCTCGATCATTGATGTTGTTACAAAGAGCAGCAATGCACCTTTCCGGCATTTTGAATGGATTACAAAGCTAAATTTACAGAGGTAAAACAAGCGAGAGGGGTCAAGCTTGAAGTCACGTGTTCCTGAACCTACGTCACAACTCATTCCAAACCCAGGAAAGGCTGGTACGAATGGCGGACCAAAAATGACGGCAAATTTGAACGTTTTCAAAAAGTTATGATAAAAAAAAAAAATACGTTTTGTCCAAGTCGAAACATTTTTTCGCAGAAGTTCATTTGGTGATATAAAGAATTAGATGACGAAATAAAAATTTTGACGTTATGGGCACCTTAAGTTATGGCGTTTGTTTAGGTGGGTGTTTTGTGTTTGCACATTTCGTGTGACCTTCCGCGGTCGCCATTTTTCTCCAAATCTTATACGAACATGAAACGGACTGCTGTGGACAGTTGGCAATTTTGCACATGCATTCCGCTTTTGCGGTTGAATATTTTTCCCTATCAGTTTTTGAGCTATTAGCTTTGTGGATAAGGAATTTATTTTTTGCACTCTTTCCACGGACAACTTAAAAGCTTGACCGTTACAAGATAACCCTTTGTGCATGCATGAGGGCGGTCCGCTGATCAATAAAGCCCGCAATTACACGCGAGTAGTGTTTTGTTTTACGCTGTTATCTTTAGCAGAATAATCGGTAGAAGAAGAGTACCGTAAATACCCGAAAGTGAGACTGGCCAAGTAACAAGAACAAAGAAAACCTGAAATGTATTTCTTTTTTCCTCGCTGTATTTTAGACTATTAGCTGGCGCGATCGATCGCAACACCAACCTCACAATTTTCGTTTACGTTCCGGCACAGCGGTTCAAAATTAAAGATTGTTTTTTCTTTGGAATTGCCTGACGGATGGATGTTTTCGAAGTTAAAAATAACTGATATCGCAAACAGTTTACTAAACTTGGCGGGTGATCGCGTGATGCCTCGCGCTGAAGTGCGCGTTAGAGCCCAAGCATCTCACAGATATATTACTGATTTGAGCCACATTAAACTTCTATAGAATTCAGCTGCCCCGTGTATCTGCGAATTTTCCTTTCGAGAATCCGACTGCTCAGTTATGAACGAATTCATAAACTTAGCAATACCACAGTACACATCTTCCTCGATATCGAGAAATTTTAAGCAGCCAGAACGCGAGAAAGGATCAGGAAAAAAAGTTGACCTTTGACTTTATTCCATTCCGAAGGCACTGTTGAAAAATTTCAAAAGTTATTATATGGCTAGCTCCCTGAGCTGGCAAGATGAATCAAATCCCGCGCTGTGACTGCCGGCTACCCGAGCGGGCAAGATGGAGCTATCTTGCCCGCTCGNGAGCCGTTTTTGTTTTTAAGTCATTTTCCAGTATTATTTGTTAAGGTCAGTAGCAGTTAATCAGACGTTGATGTCATTGTTAGCATGGGTTAGACTCACATGACGTCGTGTTTATAACACAAACATTTTGATTGGTTTATTTACTCTTTTATTTGTGACTGATGAAGGGTTTTCCCCGAAACGTCTCAAAAAAACTACCATTCAGCACTTTTTTTAAAATTTAAACAAAAATAACTCAATTCAGTCAAAGTGCTACACAGCAACAGCTTGTTTTTATTTTATATCAAACAATAATACCTACTTAATAGTGGTCGATTGGCGCGCCATGATTAATTAAGACTTAAGATTGTAGGGCACGATTCTAAGTACACAGCTTCAAGGAATAATTTTTGGTATACAGTGTACTGAAAGCAAGGCACGATGACCTCTTATTATGATTTACTGCCTTCTCCCGATTTACTTCTTCTGTTGTGCCAATACATACGTGTGAGTTCATAAAGTCTCATACATGAGACACTCAGAAACGTTATTGCTTTTTGAACTGAAATGAGTGATTCCTAATAATCTATAATGCGCTTGCCTCCAATGTTTCAAAGATAAAGTTTCCCACCGATTTTTCTTCTTGTGTTTTTTTTTCTTTCCTTCGTCGCAGTGCTGTACGCCGAGCGGCTGCAGTTTAAAATCTAACGAACTGTCTTGATTTCTGTTCTTTTTTTTTTTCCGAAATTCTCGAATAATTCTCAACTGCGTATATTCAGCATCAATCCCGTCTAACCCAGCAGAACATGCGCCCAAAGGCTAGCAATCAAGAATGACAAAATACCGATGAAGCCATATGTAAAATCTCTTACCTGATATGTGGAATGGGATTAAGTAATTAACGTAACACACGGCACAGGAACAAAATTAAAAATGGTCTGGGCATTTTGTGGTCCTCCCCCTGCAGCGCATGCTTTCAGTTTTCACAACTTAACATGAAATACCTAAGACGGCACTTTTAAATAATTAAAGCTAGCTGCGTCACGTGATATGCGAACGATTTACGCAAATAGATATTTTTTTTCAAGACATGATTACGTATGCTTACCTAATCAATCTAAACGAATTGAAATATGAGATATTAATACTATTCTACCTTAGTAAACTACAGGCCTTGACGCGTTACTCTTTTTTTTTTTAGCAAAGATCGATCTTAAAGCTATCAATATGCAAGTATTTCGTGAATATTTTACAGGGAAATTTTACGACACAATGAGCACGAGGAAATAACTATTTTAACAACTCTGACAACCTCACTTTCAGCTAACCACTTGCTTATAAAAACAAAATAAGCGAGAGAAGAACATTTGCCGCATAGCACAGAAAAACAACAAAAAACTCAACTTTACTATAAGTACTTGTTGAATCTGAACCTCCAACGTCGCGACAATTGGCTCAATCGCAAATTGCATACCAGTACAAATCAATTCAGTAAGTAATTCAAGTAAATCGAATTATTAGAGGACCTATAACGTACCATGCATGTATCCCCAGTGAAGTAAGAGATGAGACGCCCGGAACGAGCCGTTTTTGGTTTTAAGTCATTTTCCTGCATTGTTCGTTAAGGTCAGTAGCAAGTTAATCAGACGTTGATGTCATTGTTAGCGTGGGGTAGATTCACATGACGTCGTGTTTATGATACAAATTTTTTATTGGTTCATTTAACCCTTTATTTGTGACTGATGAAGGGTTTTCCCCGAAATGTCTCAAAAAATACCATTCAGCACTTTTTTTTTTAATTTCTACTAAAGTAAGTCAATTCAGTCAAAGTGCTACACAGCAACAGCTTGTTTTTATTTTTATCAAACAATAATACCTGCGTAATAGTGATCGATTGGCCCGCCATGATTTAATTAAGACTTAAGATTGTAGGGCACGATCCTAAGTACACACAGCTTCAAATAATAATTTTTGGTATACAATGTATTGAGGGCAAGGCACGATTACCTCTAATTATGATTTACAGCTGTCTCCCGATTTATTTCGTCTGTTGTGCGAATGCATACGCGTGAGTTCATAAAGAGTGTTTCCATTTTGTCTGCTACATGGGACACTCAAAAACGTTATTGCTTTTTGGACTGAAATGAGCGATTCCTAATAATCTATAATGCGCTCGCCTCCAATGTTTCAAAGAGAAATTCTCGCACCGATTTTTCTTCCTGCTTTGTTTCTTTCTTTTGTCGCAGTACTGTACGCCGAGCTGCTGCAGTTTAAAATCTAACGAACTGTCTTGATTTCTGGTTGGTGTTTTTTTGAAATTCTTGAATAATTCGCATACCGTGTATATTCAGTATCAATCCCGTCTAACCCAGCAGCACACGCGCCCAAAGGGCATGCAATCAAGAATGACAAAATAGCCGATGAAGCCATATTTAAAATCTCCTGCCTGATGTGTGGTACGGGATTAAGTAATTAACCTAACACACAGCACAGAAACAAAATTAAAAAGGGCCTCGGCATTTTGTGGTCCTCCCCTTGCAGCTCATGGTCTCAGTTTTTACTTCTTAACATGAATTACCTAAGACGGCACTATTAAATAATTAAAGCTAGATGCGTCACGTGATTTGCGTACGATTTACGAAAATAGATATTTTTTTCAAGACACGATTACGTATGCTTATGTAATTGATCTAAGCGAATTAAAATATGAGATATTAATACCTTTCTTCCTTACTAAACTACAGGCCCTGACGCGGGACTCTTTTTTTTTTTAAGCAAAGGTCGATCTTAAAGCTATCAATATGCAATTATTTCGTGAATATTTTACCGGGAAATTTTGCGACACAATGAGCATGAGGAAATAACTATTTTAACGACTCTGAAAACCTGACTTTCAGCTTAATGTTTGCTTATGAAAGCAAAATAAGCTAGAGAAGAACATTTGCCGCATAGCAGAGAAAAACAACAAAAAACTCAACTTTACCATCAGCACTTGTTGAATCTGAACCTCCATTGTCACAACATTAGCTCAATCGCAAATTGCATACCAGTATAAATCAATTCAGTAAGTAATTCAAGTAAATCGAAATATTAGAGGAACTATAACGTACCATGCATGTATCCCCAGTAAGGTAATCAGATTTGACGTCTAGATGAGAAGGAGACAACGGAAAACGACGTATCTGTTCGTATCGTCGACTGCTGTTGTAAATTTTCTTGCGTAAGCGAGCTACAATTGGCATTACAGTTTTCACAACAAAACACTACCCACTAAAAAGGAAGAAAGCTGATCATTCGCCCCGAACAAACCATGTTTATTTTTAGTTATTTTCTTTCATTATTTGTTAATGTTTTAGCCTTGGGGGAGATTCACAAGACGTCATGAGGAAGCTGCAGCCTCAGGCCTAGGTAAGCAGTTGCTTCCTTGTGAACTTATATATGGCTCG